TTTAACCTGTTATGCCACCAGAGAGGGTCCTTAGTCTTTATTTAAAAAAAGATTTATTTATTTATTTCTGCATATAAAAACTGGAGTGTAGGCTACAAGTGGTAAGAAGATTCCCCAGGCACAGAGTGGATGTTCCATGATTATATGAACTTTTCATTCTGACATGAGAACAAAGCTCAACATCATCTGATACCTTCCCTGACCTAGTCCTACATTTAGCCTTTTCTATCAGTACCCTTGCATTTTTAAAGGCAACAAGAAAATCGGGTATTAGGTATACTGACTGCGACTACTGCATCATTATTACTTCTAAGTCTTTTTGGTATAAAGTATATATAGAAACAAAACTTTTATGTTGTTGTACATACAACTATGTATAGATGTGGCATGTACATAAGTATAAGCATGTATTATGCATGAACATAGCATCTATGTATATATCACCTATACTTTACATGTACAACTGATGCCTGAACATGGGAGTTGTTCAAATAAGTATATAACTTCTGATTCCTACAAAACTTAACTATTAAAAGCCTACTATTAACTAGAAGTATTACCAAAATAAACAGATAACACATATTTTGTATGGTATGTGTATTATATACTGTATTCTTCTAATAAAATGAGCTAGAGATAAGAAAATGTGAAGAAAATCTAAGGAAGAGAAAATACATGTATAATACTGTACTGTTTCAATACTGTAAGTTTATATTGTTTACAAGATGAATTCTCTATCAGCGTGATTATACTGACAGATATAGATGGTATACATATTATTACTTTTAATGTACTGAAAAAGTCTGCATATATGTATGTGTTCAGTAGAATTCTATGGCAATAGATCTATGTATTTTGCTCTTTTTATCTAATATATTTAAAGGTATGAATAGGGACATGTCCAATCAAACAACATAACATGGCCTATTTTCTCCCATTCTGTATTTTCATTTCTTTTCCCAAGGTAAGAAACCTGGTTCTCTCAATACATTTACCCTACTTCCTGAATCCTAAAATAGAGTACACAGGTTTAAATTTGCCAATACCAAGAAAACCAAACCCTATAAAACAATATTCAACTTTCTGGGCAGTAAAATTGATGTATCCTGAGATGCATAAATATGCAGAGTGTAATTTGATGAGTTTTGACAAAAAGCAACATCTGTGTAAATCATATTCCTATAAAATATAACATTTCTAATTTTCCTTCTATATAAACTTCCCTACTACATAAAAATTTATTCTTTTCCTTTATTTTTTACTAAAATAAGCTTGCCTACTGTAGTACTTTAAATGGAGGGAAACATAAAACCTTCAGTCTTTGAACCTCCTTTTGCTCAACACAGTATCTATCAGCTCCATGCATTTGTAGGGTGTGTCAGCAGTCTGAGCAACAACAGTTTACCTATCAATTTCTCTTTGGACATCTGGGTTGTTTCCACCTTTGGGCCTATTATGAATAAAGTTCCTCTAAGAACTCTTGAACAAGTCTTTTTCTGGACATATGTTTTCATTTCTCTTGGATAAACAGCAAGGAGGACTTGCTGGGTGAAAGTGTATGTTTAACTTCATAAAAACCTGCCAAATCTTTTCCCAAAGTGGTTTTAACATCTAACATTTCCACCAAGCAATGCATGAAAGCTCTTGTTTTTTACATCTTGGCCAATTATTTGAAGAGACTGATCTATTCATTTTATAGTTTTGTTTTTTTAAACTGATCACCTTATTTCCAAGTGTGATTAAGAGTTTTTCTATATTTTTATTTCTATCAAATTTTGTTTCAAATATTTAGGAACACTTATTAGACTGCAAAGGTAATCTCAGGTAAATTAGGTTTGTATAGTCTATAACCTAATGTTACAGTGCCTTCTTTAGGAAGTGATGCATTTATCACTACGAAATGCTCCATTTTAATTCCAATAACACATTATCATAAAGTCTATTTGTTTTACTTTTAATACGGTTACCAGGGATTTTATTTATTATTTATACATAATATTTTTGCATTTTCCAAATACATGTGTCTTTGTAATTAAATGTCTCTCAAACTGCAGACGGTCGATCTTGCTTTTTTTTTTTTTTGACTTATTCTGTAAATCTCTACTTTTATATAGGCGTGTTAATCCACTTATTTTTACCATAGGTACTGTAAGCTGTAGTTGGGCCTAAAACTTACTATTTGTTTTACATTAGTTCCATCTGCGGTTGTTTCCCTCTTTCCTTTTCCTACCATTTTTTACTTTACCAATATAACTGTATAGTTATAACTTTTAGTTAAATAGGCATAAGTCTTTTAAAGAAATGAAAAATATAGCTCTGCATTTCAATCTTTCCTGTAAATTCAAGTTTCTAACACAGATCTTTTTTCTTTGGTCGGCAAAATGTCCTTTTTTAGCAATGAGTTAAGCTGCCTGAAAATGTCTTTCATTTTACCTTACTTGTTAAGGATAGCTTTGCTATATATAGAATTCACTCTAGACAGCTGTTGGCTTGTTTTCTCTTCTAGTTTCTTAACTATGTCAATTTCATTATCTTCCAGCTGACACTTTTTTGAAAAATGAGAAGTCAACAAGGTAACCCTCTTGTTACTTTGCACAAAACGGCATGGTTCCTAAGACTGCTCAGTCAGGATTGTCTCTTGCATCACTGAACTTCACTAGTTTGAGCATGAGTTCTCAGTTATGATTTTCTTTGGCTTTATTTTACTTGGCGTTCTCTTACGTTTTAGATCTAAAACTGCTTTTTCAACCATTTTGGAAAATCTACAGTCCTTATTTTTTCAAATATATTTTCCTCCCTATTCTTTTTTTGGGAATCTAATTACACATGTTGGAACTCCAAATACAGAAGTAGTAATATATTATACCTATTTATTTCTGAATAAATTCATCTTAATTATTTAATTAAGCTTAAGTTTAGGATAGCTTCCATTACACATTTCATTTATTTGCTGACATCCTCTCTAAATTTACTCTGTAACATTATCAAGAAATAATAAAAACAAGAAAGAAATAATTCTTTTAAAATGTCTACTTCACGTTAGTACTACGCTAAAAGATTTACATCCATTTTTCTCATTTGAAGTCCAGGACAACTTGAGAAGCAAGTATATTTCAATTTTTTTTCATCTTAGGGATGTAGAACAAGCAAATAACCTACCCAGAGTCAGAATTAAGGTCTGGTATGGAGCTCTGAGTCTACTACCCACAGTATTCTTAATTATTAATACCACATTATGTTAACCTTGCCTGCAAAAATATTCCATTTGTTCAGAAATAACTGAATATTAGATGCAAAGCACTGTTCTTGGCAATTATTATACAAAAGTGAATACAAGAAATATAGAGTTCTTTCTCCAGGAAGAGAGATCCTACTACCCTCATTATTTCCTACTTACTATTGTAACTTAAGATAAAAACCTCCAGTGAACAATAAGAGCACAAAAACATAAGGAATGGTATGGAACACACGCTTTTGCCATTAGATTATCTTAGACATCAAGGAGAACCAACGAGAGGACCAAAATTGCTTACTACCTGCTTATCTGTATTGCTAAGAGCTGGTAAAGTCATAATTAAAAGTATACTCTTCTCTAGTCCACTCACCTGGAAAATTTTGTTAGTTATTAAACATTTTAAACCATGGTTCTGAAAAACCTAGATCTTAGTAATAACAATGAAGATGTCATTTCCAGAAATGGAAAATCATGGAACAAAACCAACTATGAAAGCAAAAGATAATCTATAACAGGGTTGATCAAAATGGCTGGCTTGACAATTTCAGCCAATTTGATTGATATTTCACTTAAGCCTTGTTGGCTGAAATTATATAGCTAATGGTGAAGTCAGTTCAACAGCCATATGCTGTCTAATAATGGATATGAGAAACATTAATATTGTGTGTAAAACAAATTATAAATTTTAATGGACACACACACACACAATTTGTCAGAGGTACTTTGCATATGAACTTTGCATATTATAACTGATAGGTAAGTTAGTCATCTCACAGATATATTATCCTTTGTTTTGACTGAAAAGTTAATATGAAAAGTTCATCACAGAAAGAAATGTTCTTCATATATTCAAGACACTATGCCTCTATCAGTTTTATCTGTAGCTCTTTATTCTTCTTTCTTTTTACATTACTATCTCCCCTCTCAGGAAACAAATCTTCCACAGTGATGGTAAGGAGTATGACAGTGGAGAAAAAATAAAAATAACACTAACTTCACAGCAATGACCCTGTCACTTAGCCACAATTTGCTCATATATAAATGAGTATGTACACTCTGGTTATCTAGAAAAAATATTGATAAAACATCTATAATGTTTCTCATAAAAGTATCAAATTCTAATATATTTTACAACAGAAACAAATTAGAAACAATGTTTCTGATTAAACTGAAATAGGAAAAAAAAAATCCTAAAATATCTGCCTTCAGTGCTTCCCTGGTGGTGCATAGTCAAAGCCATAGACTATCCAGCTGTACTCAGCCACTGCTGTATGAGTTCCATCTCCAACCACAGAGATGATCCACATGTCACAGCAGACCTCTCCTGTCTCACCCGCTGCTCCCCTCAGCAGTGTATTCCAGTAGATCTGTCTGTTCTGCTCTGTTTTTAGTGAATCTTCTCATACTCAGCACCTCTGGTCTATACATTCCAGTTCTTGTGTACACAAATAAATAAATCTTAAAAAAAAAAAAAAGACTTCTTCCAGAATGTTTACCAAATAACAGTGCAGAAATTTAATAGCATATGGGATCAGTAATACTAAAACACTTAATAAAATTAAACTACAAACTTGGTTTGCTCAATTCAGCAGTCACACATCTGCTATAGTTAAGAACTTGCTACAAAAAATAACATACATTATGAAAAACTATTTCAACCTTTGTATTTTTACATTTTAAAATGTGATATGCTGCTCTAATCAAAGCTGAGTAAATAGCAACAATATTGATCTTCAGATATAAACAATAAAGAATATGAACTTACTTCATCAGTGAGCTCTCCAAACACTGTTATGACATCTATTAAAAGACTTGCAGTATAGAAGGACTTAATCATGTTTCTAGAAGAGACAAGAGTGCTGGTCTAGTTTAAATGAAAACTGTAAGATGTAATATTAGTCATGTAGTTATAAGCAAAAATTCCAATGTTTATAAGTACTCTGTAATTAACGTTTTAAATAAAATCAGCTTTCAAGAACACATTGGAGCTCCTTTTATAATCTTCTTAGAAGTAACACATATATAGGTAAATATGTTACAGTAAAGGTTCATGGTGTACTTCTGACTTTAGACATGTAATTACGGTATTACCTGAACCCACATCAATCCACGTATACATATGACAAATCAGTTGAATTAGCAGGTTGAATAAGGCTGGTTTTAGATAAAATCAACCCTGATATTCTATTAAATATCCAAGAATGGCTAGTTAAGGAGTATTTACTGAAAAATGAATCTGGCCTGGGTAATTTCACTAGACAGAATTACACTTGTAGCCCAAAATCATTCAGATTCTACAAGTAATTTAAGAAAAAAATATAAATCATTAGTTGGGGAGTTAGAAAGTATTCCACACAAATAGAGTAATTCTGGTTATTATTTTAATGAAATTACGTATGTGATACATAAAATGTTTTATAATTAAACATGTACTTTTTGATTTCCTTCTTTATTTACTTACTTATGAAATCGCCCAGCTCGATCTTCATTATCTGCATACAAAAACATTTTCAGTGCATAGTTCTCCAAATGGGCACAACCAACTATTTCTTGAGTGACAGCTTCATTATCGCCCAACTGTTTCTTAAGCTAAAATAAAACCAAAGTTTATTGCTTTTAACTCACAAAACTATATGCTTAAGTACAAATAATTCCAATGATCATTTCAAGTAAATTATTTTACATTCATTTCTATAAATATGTATCAATGGAGTCTTATAAAAAGAGTTCCTATTGCAGTCCCAAGATATTTAAAACAAAATTCGACATTTACACAGTTTTAATGAAATACACTCCTGATGTTTTAAAAGTATAATTTAGCTCTAAAAATAAAAATAACCAAGGATAAACAGATAACACATTCAGGTACATGCACATGTAAAGCATCTAAAAAATATTTCCAAATAATGTATTAATTAGAAGTAGGAAATTCAATCCTAATCATATCTAATGGAAAGATTTAACTTATTCCATTTCCTCTATCAAATTTATATATAAAGATTAGAAGGCTCATTACATTTTAAATTATATCACTATCTCATAGAGCACAATAAAAAAAGATATAACTAAGGTATATTATGGCAAACTTAGCATGTGATTATGGAATCTTTTAAATTTGTAGCTATGTATCTCAAATTCCAAAGTTTGTCACTTGTGAAAGGATGACCCAAAGGTCATCTACGGTAACATGGAATGAGACATAATATATGCAATGACACTGGAATCTAATTTATGCTTACAACTCTCTTAGCAGTATGATATAAATAAAAATTTGTGTCTAATTTTTTTATCAGCTACAATGATGCTGACTGCTGCCAAGGGAAACAACTAACATAATACACACATGCATAGATAAAGTAAAATGGCACTTTAAGCATTTATCACAAAATAAATTATCAGATGTACTTACAGCTTCTAACTGATCCATTAGCTTTGATAAAAATTTACGACATTCAGGAGTTTTACTGTCAATTTTCATTCCTGTTTGCATCGAGTATAAACGACCTATAAAGAAAAGAAAAAAATGTTGGATTGGATTGGCTGTCACTGTGCTCATGAGCTATAGTTTAACAAAAGAAAATCATGTTTGGCTATTTCCCGTGTGCAGAAAACCATGTAGAAGGTAAAATTGACGTATCTTTGTATAAAGGTTGTTTAATTTTTGAATTTTAGTGAATATTAATGTTAAAAAAAGTTAAATGTTAAAAATGTTTGAATGTTAAAAAAATGTGATATGAGAAATTTCATTTTTTTAACATCTTCTCCATGAAAAAATGTTAAAGTAGGTTTTTTCTATTAAATCATTTAAATTTCAATGAATTTAGGGATTAAAATTTTTATTTGCCTACTTACAAATATAAAGAACAACAAAAAAATCCAAAGAGTAAAAGCAAATCATAATGATCACAAATTTTTATTAAATGTTTTCTTTTGATACATTTTAAAAGTTATTTATTTATACATACAAAAAATGGGGTACAGGCCAGAGGTGCAGGGGTGTGAGAGGACTCACCAGTGACAGAGTGGGGAGCAGAAGAGGCAGACTGACCGAAAATACACTGCTGAGGGGAGCAGCAGGTATGACAGGAGAGGCCTGGCTGGGGATAGAACTCATGCTGCAGAGGCTGTGGATAACTTCATAGTACTGTGCTTTAATCCCATGCACCACCAGGGAGGCCCTTTTTTGGATATTTATATGTTAAAAAATAGTACTAGGTCCTACACTGTCAAAGACAACTGAAACTTGAAAGGTTAGCAAATGTACAAGAGCACTTGCCAAGTACCAGATAAGTAATATTGATAAAACATACACTATGGGCTAGGAAAGTGAGAAATGCAAGCTATTAACTAAGGCTAATCAGTAAAACTGTTTTAAAGATTTAAGTATACAAGTGAAAAAATTTACATACATCCTTTGAAAACATTCCAGATAAAGGCAAATGCTATCCACCTCTAGCACCAATGATACTAACAGGCCAATGCTAAACAGTCTGGGGGTACTTACTGTTACTACTGGAATATACATGTATTGTCTCTGTAATTTAACTCACAGTGATCATTATGTTTTAGAGTTTTCTGTGAGCACCACAGAGTTCCACAGTAAGGACACATATTCTAACTAAAGCATATTCAAGTAGCAGTTGGGTGTTGATCAGTACAAATCATGTTGCCAATACCATACCTTCTCATGCCTATATTCAAAACTACCTCGAGACAGCTAACAAAATGAGGAATTGCTGGATCATAGCATGTGTATCTTGTTCTTTGAGAACTACTTTTAAACTCTCCTCCCAAACAGATTATCCATATAGTTTTATCTGCAATATAGACAAGCACTCACTTCCCCTAGACTCATGGGAAAAAAAAAAAAAAGATATCATTAAAACTTCCTGTCATTCTCAGAACTTACAAATGTTATCTCAGTTCGATTTCCATTTTCACTATGGAAAAGGTATTAGACTTTTACTGGTTAGTTCTATAACCTCCTTTCATGAATAGCTATGAAAACAAAAAATTTCACTTAACTTTTCTAGTGGGTTTTTTGCTTGTTAACATACTGCCTGTGGCAGGTTCTTTGTACAGTAGTTAAGTCGGGATATAACATTCCCCCTATCCTCTTCCTTCTATGCTTTATTTTTCTCCTCAGCATGTAATCACCTACTATTTATTCATTCTCTCTGATATGAATTTAAATTCCATGATGATGGCTGATGTGTCCCTGGCATGTAGGTTAGCAACTGGGCCTTTGGTAAACATTTTCTGGATAGATAATTAACAGTTCATTCTACTTTAATGACTTAAATGTTACTGTTAATCATCCATTAACTATGTTAAGTTTTCATGGGACAAAGGCCTCATTTCTGAATACTGACTATCCTGTTTTATCAATTCCAGTTTTATAACATGGCCCAGTATCTGTGAGCTTATCTCAGGGCTGACAATTCAAATGTACTAATGAACACATAATACATATTTATGTTCTCTGTATTTTTTTAAGATTTATTTATTAAGAGATTTATTTATGGATTCACCAGAGACAGAGTGGGAAGAAAAGGCAGACCCACTGAAATTCACTGCTAAGGGGATCAGTAGGTAGATACAGGAGCCCGAGTCCATGTGGGTTACCTGGCAGGGGACCAAACTCATTTTGCAGAGCCTGGTAACAGTTCAATAGTGCTGAGACTTAACAACCCCTTGTACCCCCAGGGATGCTCTGCATTTTCAATTTTAATAGCTTTATCTGAAGGAACTAATTTTTAATGCTTACGCTTTTGAGGGCTAGCTCATGTTACAGAGCTCAAAATTTAGTTTAATATATTTATTTCTACATATTAAATTTAAGGGGTTTTACATTTAGGATTTAGTGAAAGAAAAAGAAGTTACAAGTATATTGCATAGAGTCACACTGCCACACAGTGTAACAAATAAGGTGCTTTCATTTTCACTGTACAGGAGCCAGCATAAGATATCACTTTGACCCAAATACAGATATAATTTGAGAAGGAAAAAGGATACTATTTGAGTTTAAATAACCCTGCCTTGATCACAAAAGTGACAGTTTCTGTCTCTCTTGTAAACAATCATTTTTCTTTGTCCAGGTCTGCTTCCTACTTGTCATTTATTTCTTTTCACTCACCCCCATGTACAATGCTTGTCTCTGAAAGCACAGTTGAGAACAGTCTTTAAGCAATCCAGAGTTGCTCAAGGTCTCCCCACAACACCTTCCACCCTCTACCCTCATTCTAATCTTGAAAGTTCTTTTATCTTCAAGAAATTGATGTTCAGTTACATGATTTTTTTTTTTTACTTTTTTTTTATGGCTTAACTTTTCAAAATTAACTGTGTAGCCTAACTTGCAAGTTCCTGACACCTATTATTAAAATCCTTCATAAATAATCCTTCCTTTTTCTAATGATTTGAGATTTCTTCTTTAATATATTTTCCATTGTATTTCCTAGCTCTTTAATCTCAATGCTATCTTACATCAAATGTACTGCTTTACAAAATTTCTGTAACTTACACCTTTTCTCCCCTATTTTAATGTTTCTTACTATATTACCAAAAATTTCTGAAGAATTTTAAGCATTCTTGTTTATAAGAGGACACTTTTAGTTGAGAGTAGAGATTGGTAAAGATGAAGTGAGACATTAAATGTGTTATTTTATTATTTTTTAAAGATTTATTCATTCATACAAAACTGGGATACCGGCCGGAAATACAGAGGGTGAAAGGTTTCACCAGAGACAGAGTGGGGGGCAGAACAGGCAGGTCAGGAGAGGTCTGTCACACCATGTGGTCACCTCTCGGGCATGTGCAAGTGGCTTAAGCTTCTTAGTGCTGTGCTTTAACCAGCTGGGCCACCAGGGAGGGCCGAGGCATTAAATGTTTTTTAAGGGTTAATTTCAGTGGGAAAAAAAATGATTTAATTTGACCAGCCCCAAACCACTTCTGGCAATACCTACCTAAGGAAGCCAGGGGAGAGACTTACATAGAAAAAGTGTGGAAGTGAAGAAAAGAAATTATTTGACTGGTTTGAAGGCTAAGCTGTTGTGCTTGGCCATTCTCAGTATTTTGAATGGTATTTTTGAGGCATTTGCAGCTTAGATTTCAGTTTGCATATGGAGGCAGCCCAATGTTAAGAGACTTTAATGGCCTCCTTGTTTAATTTAACAGATCATTTCTATGCTAGGTTGCTTATATTTTTTTTAAATAGAGTCACCACCCTAAGCCATATTGAGGCTGAAGCCTGTAAGACTTATGATGACAGGGCTGGTAAGAAAACTGACTGCTCTATGTATAATACTGTATCAGAGCTTTTATTGGCACTTTTATTTCATTTTTTAAAAAATATAATAGTTTATTTTTACATCATTTTTTGTGCTTTTTCCCATCTCAGTTGTAATCCCTTGTGCTTCCCATTATTTCATTTTTTAAAGTTTCTGTTTTTTACAATATTTTATTATACATATAGTATTAGTACATCAATACTTACATGTAATTTAAAATATACATAATATTTTTCTACTTATGTATAGATGATCAAAAAGTTAAAAATCACTATTCCTCATTTTTTACTAATAACTATTTTCTTACTCCAATTAGCCCATGATTTGGCCCTATACTTCCTTAAGTAATGTTTTAAACTAAGAAAACTCCTGTCCATCTCCTCAGTTTTCCTTTGCCCTATCTTAAGGTTTTCTCAATGTCTTTTAACTACGCTACTCTCATTCAAGCTTGGCAAGTCTTAAATTGCCATGAACTTTAGGTTCTTTCCATCATCTTGAAATTTTTACATGTGAGCTGTCTGTCCACATTCATTCTTCCCATCTTCTTTACTAACAAAACCCCTCCATCATTTGGACTCATAAACCAGGAGTTCCAGTAGCACATTTCCTACTATCCCTCAAAGCAACAGATAGCTAGCTAACTAAAACTAGTATCTGACCAGAAATTGTTAAAAGAGATTCTTGGAGAGTCATTTTGAAAAAGGGAATGATAGCAAGGGAAGATCTTATAGACTCCTTTCCTTTCCTACTTTCTGCTGCCTTCATTAAAACTAGTCTGACAGAAACACTGGTCGATAGCCTGGACCACAAGGCAACCTCGAAACTGTAATCCTGTGCTGGTTTGTATATATGAAATTGGAAAGAGCTGGGTACGCCTAATGACATCATAGAGCTGGCACACTTAACTGGGCACTGCCATCAGACTTTTTTTTTAAACAAGAGTAAACACTTATTTTACTTCGCCATAATTATTTTAGGTTTTCTGCAATGAGAAAGGAAATAAAATTCTCATGCATACACAGTACCATGTTCTCAATTCTTACTGATCTCTGGTATATTCTCTGTTATCTCCAGTCATCCACAGTTAAATTACCATCTCAAACTGTCACATCTCCAAAATCAGTATATCAAGCATACCACTGTAAACTCAATTTCCTTTTCATCCAGTATTCAACTAACTATACCCATCACAATGGGGTTCCTGTTACCTACTTCTCT